AAGAGGATAAAAATTAAGATCTTTCTGTGTTGCCCTTTATTGCTGTACCCTTCCAGCTTCATCTTCACCTTAGTGTCTTCACTGCTAACCATCCTTGATGTCTCCAGTGCTGTGACTGTCCATGTTATAACAGCCTAACTTCTATATCCTGGGAAGCAATGAGAAGCTGTTCTCTTGTGGTTTATATTTAGAAGTTTTAACATGTGATCACAAGGCACAGAGAAACAGTTAAACTATGTCCCTCTTTCTTGCCCTCCTTTTTTTTTGGAATGATTAGGAAGTATACGTTGGCAAGGAGACACTCTGCACCATCGATGGCCTTCATTTCAACAGTACCTATAATGCAAGAGTCAAAGCTTTCAACTCATCGGGAGTTGGTCCTTACAGCAAGACAGTTATTTTACAGACGTCGGATGGTGAGTTGGGTTTTTGCCAGTTTCTAAGTGAAAAGTTGCAGGTCTCAGCAGCAGGACACTTGCATCCCTTTATACCCGCTAATATCTTTGCCACTTCCTGGCACGGAGATTTTGGATCACCTGAGCAGAGAGGCCAGGAACTGAGTGTGCACAGGGGTTCTCCTCCTAGCGCTTTTGGGGATTTTCCGTTATCAGTAACACTTTAGGTTTCAAATCATGCAATTTTATTTGGCTGTAGAATCTGAGGGTCTAACTAGGATTCTTATTTGCTTTAGCATACAGAAGCAGTTATGCAACACACAGGATATTTTTGTGCCACTCTGTCTCCACTTCTCCATGTTTCTTTGGAATTTGCCTTTTTCTTCACTGCTGCTTCAATTTCACAGCAAAGTTTGATAATACAGAGGTGGGAATTCATGCTTGTTCCTCTGTAATTATACTTGACATCCATACGGGCATTACAAGAAGTTCATCTTTGTTAATGATACAGTAATGAATTGAGAAGTACATGCTATTATCACTTCCACTTTTATGCTATGTTGCCAAAACAGGCCAGTATAAAATATTTATACTTTAAGAGCTTTTTCTGTTTGATTTGGTTTTTTTTTTTTTTGACTTTTTTTTTTCCCCTCCTTTGATAAACTAGTGGAGTCAGTCCTAACCGGCAGAGACACAGTGGAACTCCATTTCCATTAAAGGCGATCCTGAACCAATTCACCTATGATGTGAGCAGTTTCCTTAGCATGGAGAAGCCTTTGTCTCCTCAATGACTTTCTTCTTACTGTGTAAGAACAGAGAGTCACTGCCCTTAGCAGCTTACGTTCAGAGGAACAAGCACAGATAAGATAAGGCACTTCTGAGCTGAAAAACAGCAGGGTATTGGCTCAAAGCAATCTTATGTAGCTGCCTACAGTAATGAGAAAAGATTGTCTTTATTACCTGAAAGTGCAGTGGGATCTTTAGGAAGGCAGAATCTCATCCTCCTAATTGAAGTAAAGCAGACGACACTTGAACGCGGCCCGTTTTGCCATAATCCTGCCTTTCCTTTTCCCCTTCCACAGTGGCATGGTTCGCCTTTGATCCCTCCTCAGCTCACAGAGACATCGTGCTGTCAAATGACAACCAGACTGCCACCTGCAACAGCTACGATGACCGGGTTGTTCTTGGCACAGCAGCCTTCTCCAAGGGCGTGCATTACTGGGAACTGCATGTGGACCGGTATGACAACCATCCGGATCCAGCCTTTGGTATTGCCAGGATTAATGTCGTCAAGGACATGATGCTAGGCAAGGACGACAAGGCATGGGCCATGTACGTTGACAACAACCGCAGCTGGTTCATGCATTGCAATTCTCACACCAATCGGTAAGTGCCACTTGCATGCTTTTCTCATTACTGATTGTTTTTTCTGCTTTGCATCAGAGGAATGGGTCTCAGCAAGGCATCTAGTCCATCTCCCTGCTACACGGGTTATTTTATTCCTTCTTAAAAATCAGTAGTGACAGAGAGATTGCACCTTATCTCTGTTAGTGTTTGTAATCCTCATTCTTAGCAGTTTTTTCCTGAAATCTAGTCTAAATCCCCCCTGCTGTGATTTAAGCCCATCATTGCACCTCCCACCCACGATGTCAGCAGGCAGGAGTGCAGCGCACTGGGATGTAGGATTTCTCTCTCATTGCTGGAGGAGCAAAGTGGTTGATTCTCTTCCTTAGGAGGAATCTTGGCTCCAGGGTTGCACAATAATTAGGCAAAGCACTGGCGATGACCTGTCCAAAATGCAGGTGTTTATTGCCATCCTGAAAGCTGATTGAAGGTAATGCTGTAGGTCACACCTAGGGTGATCCAGATGGAAGGGGCTGTTTGGCAGTGAGGGCTAAGTGGTAGCTTCCATACAACTGAGCTATTGTACTGAAGAGCTTTGGATAGTGTCTTAACTAGTACAACCAACTTACACAAAGGAGGATTTCAGAATGCCCCTGAGCCATTGTTACCCAGCCCCTCTTTCTCCCACTGCTCAGAGGCTCTGTGTGGTCTATGCAACAGAGCGGTAAGGAGACATGTTCTAACTGAAACTATGTCCAGGGATGGATCACACAGAGACAACGAGTGTCAGCATAGATCCAGTGTTGTGCCGACACAGTTGCATGGTTTTCAGTGCTCATGATAGTTATCTCTGCCTAGTGCTGGCTGTGTTTCCTAGTGCTGGACTGTGTAGAAGAGACATGGTTGACTTTGCTTGAAGTTCCCTGAGGTGTCACCAGAGCAGAACTGCGCTGCGCTCTCTCCGTGCCCCATGAGAGGGACAGCCCTGGATGGAGGTCAGCTGGATACCGTGGGAACTGAGACCCTTGAGAAGATCCCCACTGAAGAGTGTGATTCAGGCTTCTAAGTCCCTTGCTTATTTTGGAAAATGGTGTATTTGTATACCTACTCTATCACAATGGGAGACTGGTGTACAAATAAAGTGGCTGACCAAGGATATGTAGCAGGGCTGTGGCAGAGCTGGAATCAATTTTGATTTATTTTTCTACTGACTGTCCCAGCAGGTCTTCCACACTCATTAGCTTAAATGTTTTTTCTGTTATACCAAATGATTAAAAGAAAGGCTTGTAGTGATTTTTTAAAATGCTCAAATACAGGTATTATCTCCTTAAAGAGATAAGTTCATGCCAACATGCACTGTATCCTAAAGCTGGTTGTAATGTCTCCTGTTGAAGAGTCATTTATACTCTAAAGCATTCCTGTGTTTTAGTAAGTATACTGCAATTGGTGGGCATTTTTGTTTGAAGCACAATTTGATTTTGCGGTTCATTACAGACCGGTGGAAGTACCTTATAACTGGATCAAAAACTCTCTGAAGTCAGTTGGAATATCTTTCATGGCTCTAAAGACCTTAGATCATGTCTTAAGACAATATAGAATAAAATAACATCAGTATAATAAATATATCAAAAGGTCCTCTGTCCGTTTAACATCTTGATTCGATTTAGGGCGGAAGTAATGTTAAGCTGTATTAATTTTAATGCTCTGTGAAACAGCTTATGTTTTCTGGGAAAAAAACTGGCAACCATTCTGTGTACTACTGTCCCAGAAACCTATTTTATGGATTTGGTCCTCTGCATGCTCCTCCCAGCACGCAACGCACGAGCTAAGCGAAAGCTTTTTTTTCTGGGAAGCACAAACAATGGAAACACTTTGGATTTCCAATCATCCTGCTTAAACAGGGGAACAAACTGCTTTCTGTTGATGATAGTTTCCCAGTTTTCACTAGATAAAGCACAAAGGCTTTGCAGGCAGATCCAGGGCATGGATAGACCCCTGGACTACGTGTTCAAGTGAAGTACACTTGTAAAGGGCATGTAGTCTTATGAAATCACATGCGCTTCAATGAAATTAGGTCTAGGCATTATATTTTTAACCGTGACAGTCAACTAGGTCAGTTTTTTAACTCATTAGTTGTAATAGTCTTGTGGAAACAGTTATTGCTGCCTAGTTGTTTCTCCCCACTGGAGACAACTGCATGACAGCAGAGTATCACAGTGCAAAGGAAATTTATTGTCAGCTTTTAGCCTGTTGGATGTTATTGTGATGGCAGTTACATCTTAGTAATCATTTCATGCTTCCTAATCTTCATGAGAATAAATTAGGGCAATAAATAAATGACTAGCTTCAAGGATAGGCTGAGGTGGAGCTTAAAAGACCTATTCATGGGACCTGTCACGTTTAGAGGACTTTCCTGTTCCTTTCACTCACAGCGTGCAAAATTGGATCTTACATCCTTAAAAACTAGTATGACTTCTGTAATGCTAGAAGCAGAGGCAGGAACAGAAGACTCTAATACCATCAAAAACAGGAAGAACTTTTGAGAATAGGTTGAGCAAACTGGTTAAGAAAACATTTTAGTGCAGGGATATAGCTTTGTGAGGTACCTTTGTGAGCATCGTTGTTCCTGAAAATCTGTACCTGTGAAGATCATGGAACAGATCCTCCTTGAAGTTATGCTAAGACACATGGAGGGCAGGGAGGTGATTCGAGACAGCCTGCACAGCTTCACCAAGGGCAAGTCCTGCCTGACCAAC